CTTTAATATTAAGGACTATATACCAGCCACTCCTACGAAGGAAGGTTGGGCAATCCTACTTCCGTAGTGATACTGTCTCGGAAACCCAAGGAGGGGTCGCTATGAGTCGGGGCTGACTCGATGGCAAATAACAACATAACAACTATAGTTTTATTCATTTGTACAAATTGTTTTTTAGTACATCTTCATTAAAACCTATAATAAGTGAAGAAAACCCCCATAAAGCTACAGTAATAAGTAATAAATCTTAGTATCTTATGAGAAATATTTTTCTTTCATGCTCACATTGTTTTTGAAGTAATTTTTGGTCATTTCTTACTTACAGCATCTAAGTAAGTACATCATTATATTTTTAATTATTTAAAGTAGACTTTTCATTTGAAATTTAAAGCTCCTTGGATATAATTTGTTTTCCTATTATACAAAATATCTTAGAATTTGTATACTTATTAATGCAAATTACATGCTAATAATAATAAATCAGTATTTTGTTAATTGTATTAGAAAGTTAGAAATAATGAGTCGTGATTTATTCAACATAATTTATGCCTGTTTTTTGAATCATTATGTAGAATAATAATTAGGGAAGATATCTTCCATCTGTTAAATTGATTTTACCCATTTAAAAGAACTGATTACAAAAAAAGTCCCTGGGTGGCACAAATGGTTTGCCCTTGGCTGATAACCCAAAGATAGGTGGTTCAAACCCAATCAGCAGCACCCTTTTGCACCCTTGCATTGGGCAATCTGCTTCTGTAAAGGTTACAGTCAAGAAAACCTATGAAGCAGATCTACACTGTAACAAATAGTGCCTAAGGCCCTTGACTACTAACCAGAAGGCTGGAGGTTGACACCCACCAGCCACTCCTCGGAAGGAAGATTGGGCAATCTACTTCTGTAGTGATACTACCTCGGAAACCCAAGGAGGGGTCCCTATGAGTTGAATCTGACTCGACAACAGTGAGTTTAGTTTTTGGTTTTGGAAGTCACAAATTACTGATAAAAACAAAATCAACAATAAAAATACTGATTACAATTACTGACTGTTAAACTTAGTCACTAGTTACATATTCATTTATAGAACTGTAACTTAATTGTTTTATCTGTCTGCATTCTATAGCTGGCAGCCTGTTATCGATTACATTGATAGTAAATTTGAGGACTACCTAAATGCAGAATCTCGAGTGAACAGACGCCAGATGCCTGACAACAGAGTGCAGTGTTGTTTATACTTCATTGCTCCTTCAGGACATGGGTCAGTACGTTAGTGCTTCTGATACCTTCTTTTACTTTACTATTTCTTAATATTTCATGCATGTTTTAGCAATCTTTAGCTCTAAAACTATTCCAAATGTAAAATCCCAAACTCTGTAAAAATGGCTTGTAGAAAAACTGAGGGCTAAATAAGTCAACAATGATTTTATTCTCTTGGATCCTTATAATAATAATGTTTGATGTCTGAATGTGGCTTATGTAGGTTTTCTTTTGACCGCTGTTTGCTGTTAAGAAGGAGGTCTGGTTAACCACTCTGGTGTAGTGGTTAAGGCGTCTGACTGCTAACCAGAAGGTTGATGGGTCGAACCCATCAACTGCTCTGTGGAAGACAAATGAAGCAGTCTGCTTCCATAAAGATTTATAGCCTTGGAAACGTAATGGAGGTCACGTTGAGTTGGAATCGACTTGATGGCAGTGAGGTTAGAATGAGTTCTTTGCTATTAACTGAACCATCAAGTAAAGAAAACAGCCGTAACAATTAGCTAAGAGATATTCTAAGAAATCCAGAGATGTTATTTGTTAAAGGTATGATAGAGGAGGGTATGAAAAAAATGTTAAGTACAGACGTTGTCGTGCACCATTTCAATTATAAATTTGTTTGGCTTCTGTCTTACCAGAGGTATCACAGACACATTGTTTGGATATAACGTCATCAACTCTACTATTTATTAATAATTAAGATATAAGTATCTAAATATCCTTCTGATTTGATTGTTCAATTAGTCCTTTTTTGTTCTTTGTACTTCCTCTGTCATTTTGAGTAGGTATATATATCTTTGTCAGCTGCACATGTTTCTAATTTATCTTCTTCAATCTTTTTCTTTGGGTAAATGTCTCAGCAGAATTCAGCCATCTGATGATTGTACCACTGCTGCCTTTCCATGAAGCAAAACTGAACTATTATAATAGCATCAAGGGACATTGATTAAATAGCATTATGTAATCTAACACTCAAATTATAGTAGTGTGAACCAATTCATTTATAATAGAGTACCTTTCTCTTCTATATTCTACTTCTCCCTCCATCTTTTTTCCAGACAGGCTGGAGCTATTTTCATTTTCTTTCTTGCTTTAATGGGGAACTTCAATTACATAATTTGCTATTTGGGTACCATCAAGTTGGAGTGGTGAAATTGTTTCTGTTTGTATTCTAACATTCTTCTACAGTGTTCTCAGCAATTTACGTATTTAAATTACTAAACTGGTTCATCCGTTTAAAAGGCTCAAAAAAAGTAATCTGAAAAATATAACAAACTATGTAGGTTTTTATGAGTACTCTAGTAGCTTTTTCCTGAACCTAAAGTGTGTGTGTGTGTGTGTGTGTGTGTACATATAGTATTATATTATATAGCTTAACTTGCTGGGGATTTATCCTGGAAGGCAGCAAAGAAAGAAGTCTTAATCTGTAGTTAAGTTAATAGAAATTTGTCAGCTTATAGCATTTTTATTAGATCTGTGGACTCTATCCAAGTTTTAGTAATTCTCATGAAATCACATTCCTACCATCCCCTGGGGGAAAATGCATTTCTTAAAAATTACATGAGAAATAAGATTTTTTTGTTGTTTTCTTAAGAATTTTTTTTTAAATGATTCAAATGATGTTTAGTGGCTTTAGGCCATTTCTTATTTGTCACAAGGGATAAGAGTTCAAAAATTTTATTTTCTATCTATGAAAATGTGCTTTTGAACAGCTTTTCAGCTTAGTGATGTTTAGAAATGAAACAAAATTTTGCCCATTGTCAGGTGCTGCCATGGATTAAGTGAAAGAATATGGTACTGAATTTAATGGAGAGTATTCCAAATCCCATGCTCACTACAAACTGAAATATCAGGCACTCTAATGGATAAATCAGGGCCTTTTTTAACTTGTCTAGGTAGTCCCTGGATTCCCTTTTTAGAGTGATCCTTTTTCGATATAATTATAAATTGGTCAATCATTGTATCTGTAATACCCCCACCCTGCTCTGCCAAGTGATCATCACTGAATACATTATCATCACCACTGAATATGATTTCAGTTGTTGTTGCTTTTTTTTTTTTTCCTTGTTTAGTGGTTGGTAAGTACTGTTAAAAAAAAAAAAAAAGCTGACTTGGAATGTGAATTTTAAGATGATGTTTTTACCTTTTAGATACTGATTGCAACTTAAAGCAAATCAATGTCATTCAGTGAGTTCAGTGCAATAAATTACTTAATATGGCCCTTTTAGCCATGGATGTACTTGTGACTCCCAAAAAATGAGTCAAACCAAAAACCAGACTCACTGCCATCAACTAAATCCCGGCTAATAGCGACCCCTCCTTGGGTTTCTGAGGCAGCGTAACTATGGAAGTAGATTGCCCTACCTTCGTTCCAGGGAGTGGCTGATGGGTTTGAACCACCAGCCTTCTGGTTAGCAGTCAAATGCCTTGAGTACTACGCCATCAGAGCTCACTCATCCTACTAATAATACAAATAAGGTGCGTGGAGTGGGACCATGCAAATAAGATGGATGGAACCCTTATGAGGGGATTGGTTGGTTTTACCACTGTAAGTTTATAGAGTGCCAATCCCAGAAGTAAGCAAGGGGGGGGCCTCACCACAATCACAAAGAAGAGCCAGAAGCAGAACATGTCCTTTGGGCCTGGGATCCCTGCACTTAGAACCTCCTAGACCCAAGAGACAGAGAGTTGTAACACTTGGCACAAGATGGCAAGAAGTGACAAAAAGCAAGCATAGCAGAGAAACAGCAGCGGCAGAACCAGGAGATCAGTGTAAGATTGGGTGTCCAGTCCCACAGAACAAGGCAGCTACAGTAGATGTGCTGACCGATGGAGTAAGAGCTGAGTAGTAAGAGGCAGGATGCTCACGTGGCAGAGTGGGGGGCTTCCCTACGCTAATTAGCAGAGCTAAAAACCTGTAACACTTGTCTGAGCTAGGGCAGAGGCAAGACCCAAGCTGAGGATGAGAGAAAGGCTTGAGAGTGCAGGGCTCAGGCTAATAGCACAAGGCCTAGTGGGAGCAGGCCAAGAAGCTGTCCTGATTAAAGAACTGTACGTAAGTTGTTCCTGTTATGTCCGGGTTGATCCTGGTCTTGAATTATGGCATGTTACTTCCCTGATAAACCCTGTAGCTGTGCATATTGCCTATGAGTTCTGTGTGGCCATTGGAAGGAAGTATTGAATTCAGCAGAGAAGTAGAGTGTGCTATGGGAGGGATGACTGGTATCAGAATTGGTAAAAAGGTTGGAGGTTGGAACTATGTTTGACCTCCACTTCGTAGGAATCATGAGCTTTGGCCTGGTGCTGTCTTTATTCTCCTTCCCTTTGTGAAGTTAGAGGACCTCTGATACCATGCCGTTTTTATTGTATATTTAATACAGAAGATTTTACACATATACACACACACACTCCTCACTTATCCAACATGATTAGTTCCTGAAAAACCAGGTCATTATACAAAAATCAGCATGAGGTAAAACTAGTAGATGACCACATCAGATCACAAAATGAAGTATGACTACATCATTACATAATGGCCAAATTACATCATTATATAAATGCCAAATCACTGAGAATGATGGCCCAGCCAAGTTGACACATAATCTTAACCATCACAGTCAGTGTTATTCTCACCTCACATCTTTACATTTGGTACTGCCAAATATATATTGTTGAGGTGCAAAATAATTGAATAGATTTTTTACTAACATCATAAATGCAGATTTTTGGATAAGGAGAGTCAGTAAATGAGAAGTAAGTGCATATGTATTTATCATTTGTTCTATAGTAATTTATTTTGCTACTTTGCTATAGGCTTTGAGATTAAATGGCGTTTTCCTTCTAAAGTGGGTTTGTCTTCTAGAAATTCTATGAAGGACATTCCATCATTGAAAAGCAAGAGTTAAAAAGGTGAATTGAAATAAAACTAATTGGACAGGAAAGTTTTCAATCACAATGTACTCTGAATGTGATTTAAGTGTTTTCTGCTATTGACATTTTGAAAGCTTCTGAAATTTGCACACTAATTTAAAAGGGCAGGAAGGTTTTGGGAATTTTTTCTTCATATTGTTGAGACTATACACAGCAATTCAACAGTTTGTGCAATTCAGTAACATTAATTACATTCTTCAAGTTGTGCAACCATTCTTACCCTTCTCTGAGTTGTTTCTCTCCCAGTAACATAAACTCACTGGAAGGAAGAGTTTATCAGGGTTTTTTTTTTTTTTAATTTTTATTGTGATTTGGGTAAAAGTTTACAGAGCAAATTCACTTTCCATACAGCAGTTCGTACACATTTTGTCTCATGACATTGACTGCAATTTCCCACAGTGTGACAGCTCTCTCCCCACTTCCTCTCCATGGTTACCTACTCCGGTGTTCTTCCCTCCCATGCATACTTGCCCCATGCTGTCTCCCTGTGCATACACTGCCCTTCTGTTCTCCCATGATTGATCTCTCCAAGGAGTGTATCTACCTGATGTAAATGTTCAGCCAGTATGCCTGTCTTTTATTTGACTGGAAGCCACAGGAGTGAGTTCAATTCCAGACCTGAAGAGCAGCTAGGGGCGGGCCATAGTCGCAGGGATTTCACCAGGCTCTATCAGACCAGCCAACCTAGTCTGTGTGTGTGTGTGTGTGTGTGTGTATGATTTTGAGTTTTGCATATTGTTCTCCCACTCTACCCAGGATCTTCTACAGAGATCCCTTCCGAGTGGTTGACAGTGGTAGCTGGTACCATCTAGTTTCCTGGTCTTATACTCATATCGGCTGAAGATCTATCAGGGTGCCTTTTAAAGGCTGTTTTTGTTTTTTTGTTTAACTTAAATTTTTAAACTGATTAAAATGGTCTTCAGCTCTGTTATTCTATATTTAAGAAGTTGATGCCCTCAAATTCCTTGTTGTTTTTAAATGTCTTTTTTAAAGTTAGGGTATAAATAATAGCAAGTATTCTAAGTATAAAATTTTACCTTGTTAACTTGGATTTTAACATTAATGTTTTGTATTAAATGTTCTTAAAATGTATTGAAATTTTAGATAAATTAAACTCTTTGTCTTTTGTCTTTGGTTTAAGTAGACTTAGACTTTTGTATGAATCTACTACAACTCAGTGACGTGTTGATAATTTAAATTTTAGTCATGGGTATAATCTGGAACATGAGATGTAAATTTTTCTAAGATTGAATAGACCATGGTTTTTATATATTGAGTTATATTTTCTGATTGATGAAAAAAGGAAAACTTAAAATTGTTTTCAAAGATTGATAGGTTCTTTAAGTTAGCACAGATTTTATTTTATTTTGCAAATAAAAATATAATGTTAATCCAGCTTTATTTGCTTTCCCGTAGTGTTCCTGTACTTTGAGCCCCAGTATCAGTTTCCAAGAGATTCAAGATAACGAGATTTAGCATTAACATGATAAATAATACAAAGATTCATTAACATAATAGAGGTTAGGATTTATGACACATAAAATGGATGATGATTACATAATTATCAAAAAATGGAGGACAACCACACAATACTGGGGACCACAGCCTACCAACCTTAATGTTATGTTTCAATGTAACATTAACCATGACAGTCATAAAGATTTTAAAGTGCTTATGGGATATCAAAAGGCGCTTTGGCGGGTGCCATGGTTAAGGCATTCGACTGCTAACCAAAAGGTCAGTGGTTCGAACCTACCAGTCACTCCACAGAAGGAAGATAAAACAGTCCACTTCCATAAAGATTGAAAGCCTTGGAAACCTTATAGGGTAGTTCTGTTCTATCCTGCAGGGTTGCTGTGAGTTGGAATCAACTCAATGGTAGTAATTTTTTTTTTTCAATGGGACATAAAAGTAGCAAATCTACTGGTATTTTGACACAGGTCTGGAACTCTAGACAGATCTGGGCTGGATTTGAAGATTTGGCAGTTGATAGCCTGTAGAGTATATTTGAATTCTTGGTAGTAGATGATACCTTACAGAATGTAGAATAAGAAGAGAAGAGGGCCTACTAGAGAATTCTGATGAACATAGCTTTTAAGGGGCTTAACATACAAAGAGGATTCTGAAAAGTGCCTTTGGGGGGGGAACAACTTTGTAAGGGAGTAATAGCAGATCTGCAAATTAGGGTAATTTAGAAAATAATCGGTGATGAGCACTGTATATTTATAAGTTACTTGCTGCTAATGTATTAGCAGGATCTCTGATAATTTAGTAGTTAAAGCATTTGGTTAAGTTGGCCATTCAAATCCTCCAGACATACTATGGGAGAAGGATGAGGTAGTCTGCTTCCTTGTCAATATGTAGCCTTGGAAACCCTGTGGGGCAGTTCTTCTCTGTCCTGTAGGGTTGGTATGAGTCACAATCGACTCAATGGCAGTGAGTTTGGTTTTACTTGGGAATATATTAGCAGAAGGAGCTATTTGGTGACTTTCTTGGAATTATAATGTTAAAGTGGAGTCAGTAGCTACATTGTAATGGGCAAAAGGGATAATGATGAAAATTCTCTTTTGAGCATCTTCTCTGAGAAAGATAGTTGATAGTAAGTGAATATGGGGTTGAACTAGGGCTACCATTTTTTCATTTACAATAAATTATAAATCACAAATTTTGAGTAATAAATATATACAGTAGTCTGTTATAAGAAGAAGGGCTCTGGTGGATAGTGGTTGAAACCTTTGGCTGCTAACCAGAAGGACAACGATTTGAACCCACCAGCCCCCCCCAACCCATGGTAGAAAGATGTGGCAGTCTGCTTCTGTAAAGATTTACAGTCTTGGAAACCCAATGGGGACAGTTTCACTATATTATTTTAGGAAATTATATTGAGAGCCTCTGGTTTTCCCAGTTCCTCTTTAGAGCTAAAATCTTATGACCCAGGGGTTCAAGGGCAGGAGTCAAAGCCTTCTTAACCACTCCAGTGCTTCTTGAAGTCCTGCAGTACCTGACTGTTGCTGGCCCAATAGATATTCAGAAAGTATTTCCGATAAGTAAAGTTGTTACTTGCCATTAAGTTGCCTGACTCATGGCGACTTTATGTGTAACAGAATGAAACATTGCCCTGTCCTGCACCATCTCCATGACCTTGTAAAGTACGTCCATTGTTTTTAATTTAGCATTGGGAATGTGAAGAATATATCACCCCAAATTGATCAATTTAATCATAATAAAATACTGTATATTTCAGACTTAAACCACTGGATGTTGAGTTTATGAAGCGCTTACATGAAAAAGTGAATATCATCCCACTCATTGCCAAAGCAGACACACTCACGCCAGAGGAGTGCCAACAGTTTAAAAAGCAGGTGAGCAGAATGAGTTTGAACTCTTGAGATTTTTGTATTATTTGTGAAATTTGCAGATTTGTTATTTTCTGCATAATGTGTGACAATCTTTTTTTGAGGGGGCTGCTTTTTACTGTATTGTTAATTTATGTTGTATTGAAAGTAGCTTTTTTGAAACTAATCTTGTGCCTTAGTTTTCTCTTTAAAGCTATTATCTACTATCATAGTACCCTTATCCTTTGGCATTTTTTAAAAAATAAAATATCCATAAGACTGCTTCAGATGTTGGTATGTAAGCCCCCCTTCCCCCTTCTGTAGAATTATTTTCTTAGAATGAATTCCCAGGAGGATTACTTCTTTCAGTGGTTATTATATTTATGGAACTTTTTGTTTTGATTTTCATTTTGCCATGGTATTTTCACAGTAAAACTATCCCTTTCCTTTTATAACAAACATCTATTTCACTATAACCTTGCCAGCATTGTGTATCCTTTTTATTTTTACAAATTTTGGGAATAAAGTAGTACCTGCCAGTTTCTTTAAGGAGTCCTGGTGGTACAATGGTTAAGTGCTGCTTGGCTGCTAACTTGGCAGTTTGAACCCACCATCCACTGTTTGAGGAACACAAGACCTAGCGATCTGCTTCTGTGAAGAGGAAACCCTATGGGGCAGTTCTGTTTTGTACTGTAAGGTCATTATGAGATGGAATCAACACAACAGTATGCAACAGCAACAGTTTCTTTAACTTTTACTTTTATTTTCTGGAAAGGCAGGACACTTTTTAAAGCAGGAGTTTATTTTTTTCTTTCTTTTGTGAACATCCTGTTTAATTTGTTTTTCTTTGGACAACAGTCCAGGTAGTCCCTGAATTAGGATGGGGTTCCATTTTGACACTCCCCCTGTAAGTCAGTTCTGACCTAAGTCAAATACCTCATTGTTTTTTTTAGTTTTCATTATTGCCTTTTATTATTATCTTTATAAATCTGACTTTTATTTGTCGTTGGAGGTTGGAAATGTTATATTTAAACTTATAGATATATTTAAATTTAATGCATACATATGTAAAAAAATATACACAAATCATAAAAATTTACTCCAACAATGAAGAAGAGTTGGACAACATTGGCATTTTGTCAATCATAATAACTCTGTTTGTATAAAGTTCTGATTCATCTGGATTATCCCTGGTAATGAGAATGGTGTTTCTAGTTAAAAAAGAACTAATGAGAGTTGTCTATATGGTCTTTTTCTTTTTGCCTATATATTTCATAGTAACATCTCACTAGTTCCTGAATCTGCCTATTGAGGAAAGCAATCAGAATTTGAGTCCATGTTTCCAAGCAACTGAAGCCCCTGGTTTAGTTAGAAAACGAAATCTATACAACAGTATTTTGAATAGTAAATAATAAAAGTGAACATCTCCAAGTGAACATCTGAGAATAACATCAGAAAATGAGCACTACAACATCGTTTGTTGTTGTTGTTATGTGCCATTGAGTTGGCTTGGGTTTCCAAGGCAGTATCACTACGGAAGTAGATTGCCCCATCTTCCTTCTGAGGAGTGGCTGGTGGGTTTGAACCGCCAGCCTTCTGGTTAGCAGTCAGAGCTAACTCTACCAGAGCTCCCACATTTCATTATAACTTGTATGTATCATAAGCTGGGGACTACCTGTACTTGATATTACCTTTATGTATTTATATGGATTCTTTTCATTCTGAATATTTATGTTTCATTTTCAGAAAGATTTGTTTTTTTTCTTTTTCTTCTTATATTTTGGTTTTGTTTTCATTGTATCAAAGTTAATTATGTGAACATGATTGAATTTATTCATAACTAACTTCTTCTGTATAGTCCCACCTGTTACGTTACTACATTTCCATAGCTAGGTCACTGTTGTTTCATTTTAATGTGTTGAGATTTTGTGTATTTAATATGTATAATCATTTTTTGCACTATAAAGGATATAGAGAGATAACACTTTTGTCCTAAATTAATAGCAAATTATTTCATTTGTACTAGTTAGAATATAAGGAGCTCTGGTGGCATAGTGGATAAGGCATTTGGCTGCTAACCAGAAGGTCAGTGGTTCAAACCCACCAGCTGCTCCATGGAAGGAAGATGGGACAATCTACTTCTATAATGATTTACATCCTCTACATTGTGAGGAATGGGAGCTAATATCATGAAAAAAAAAAAAAGTGTATAAACTGCCATATGGAAAATGAATTTTCTCTGTAAACTTTCACCCAAATCATAATAAAAATAATAATAATAAAAAAATTTACAGCCTTAGAAACCCAGTGAGGCACTGTTAGTCAGATTCACCTCAATGGAAGTGAGTTTGGTTTGGTTTGGTTTGATTTAATTAAAATGTAAATTGTATATATAACATACCCCAATTCTAAAAGATCTGTGGCTCTGTTCTTCCCAATGGAAATCTTTACTTCTATTTACACTACAGTAGTACAGTTATCATGTGGCACATTGTTTGTTCCCTTGTTTCTAGGGACGTACTATGAGAGTAGAATCAAAGTACAGTATGCTTAGGGAGCTGTTTCTATGAGGTCAAATAGAGGGTGAGTATTAAAATAGTTGGATGTCTGTATTCTGTTTAGAATTTGGAGTGATTTTGGACAGTAATTAATTTGAACTAGATCATTTCTAGTTCGTGTAATTAATTTGAACTAGATCATTTCTAGATCATGTTATTAATAAGTTTGCTTTCTTTGGTATTCTGCAGTCTTTTTATTAAGTATTTAGCCTCTTTATTTCCAGGGCATGTTTTCTTCTGGTGCTCTTTCCCAGTATTTGTCAGATCATTGATTTGTATGTATACACATGTACATTGGAGGATATTTTCCAATAAATGGGTCAGTGCTGCCCACATTTGTAGGTGAGCTTAAGCTCTTTTGACTCAGCTGACTAAGACAGCTGGTCAGGGTTCCATCTAGAGAAAGTATCTCAGTCATTGTAAATAAATGACTAAAGTCATTAAAGTAGAAATCAGCAAGGAAGATCCTTTTCTGGAATCTTATGTCATTTTTAGAAGTTGATATACCCACATACCTTATACACTTCTGAAGTAAATTGGATTTTGAGAATGATTTTTATATATCAACTTTCCACAAAAAATAGAACCAAACTCACTGTTATCAAGTGGATCCTGACTCATAGCGACCACCATTGGGTTTCTGAGGCAGTAAATCTTTACAGAAGTATATTGCCCAGTCTTCCTTCCGTGGGGTGGCTGGTGGGTTTGAACTGCCAACCTTCTGGTTAGCAGTCAAAATGCCTTAGACACTGTGCCACCAGGGCTCCTGATATCAACTTCATGGTTTGAAAAAAAAATCAAAACACCAGCATATAGTACATTGATTTTAGATTACACTTTTGCATTAAAGGACCTAGAGCTGAAGACTGAGAGATACAAGAAGAGTGTCTTACAAAATAAGACTAATACATGGATTATGTGTGGTGCTTGATTGCTAACTTCCTCTTCTATTTTAGATAATGAAAGAAATCCAAGAACAGAAAATTAAAATATATGAATTTCCAGAAACAGATGATGAAGAAGAAAATAAGCTTGTTAAAAAGATAAAGGTAGGTTCATACTCACACATACACTAAATTGTTCTGGGGCCTTAAAAAGTAATGTACTATCCATAGGGAAGACCAAGCATATCAGTGTTCTAAGTAGCTGGCTTACAAAAGAGACACGAGTTGTTCTTAAGCACTGACTGTTTAGCCTTTGTTTTAAGAGCCAGACAAAATTGTATTTTGTCCTTTTTAAAATATATAAGTCAGTATTATAATTTTTTATAGTGGTTTCCTAGGTACCCTGGGTATAAAATGTTTTATTGATCACTCATATTATGTGGCAAATAATTTTTGAAGTTCTATAAAATAACTACTTATGTATTTCTGGGAGCCCCAATAATTTTGAAAGGCTATGCTTGGAAATAGTATGGATGAATACAGATTTAATGTACTCGAAGTGAAGTTCCAAAACTCAGTGCTTAGCAAATACAGTATTCCCTCTCCCCAGTACTTTTAGGGCTAGCATATGGTCAGACAAACTAGTTACAAGCTTAATTATCTTTCTCTAAATGCCAGTATATATATGTGTGTTTTTACCATTTTTAATTTTTCCAATGTGGGCAGCTTCTTTTTGTAATTTTTAGCAAGTAATTTTGCCCATTGTTTAGCTTGGTGGTGATATGATATAATGGCAGTTGACTAAACAGTGATTAAATGACCTGTAAAAGCTAATGCAGAAAAAGGGTAAAAACTGCTGCTAATTTGTTGAATGATGTAACTTCTTTATTCTTGGATTTGTGAAGACTACAGGGGTATATTTGAACAAGACTACTTTGTTTTATAGGACCGTTTACCTCTTGCTGTGGTAGGTAGTAACACTATCATCGAAGTTAATGGCAAAAGGGTAAGAGGAAGACAGTATCCTTGGGGTGTTGCTGAAGGTAAGGTTTTCTTCAGTGAATGACTTTCTATAAGATCTCACAAAATGTGATCAAAATTTGTATTTATACTAAGTAGTAGAGTGTTTATATAAGGGAGCCCAGGTAGCCTAGTGCCTAAGGTATTTGACTGCTAACCAGATGGCTGGCAGTTCCAACCCACCAGCCACTCCTTGGAAGGAAGGTTGGGCAATCTACTTCTGTAGTGATACCGCCTCGAAAATGCAAGGAGGGGTTTCCGAGGCGGTATCACTACAGAAGGGGTTGCTATGAGTGGGATCCGACTCAAGGGCAGTGAGTTTAGAGTGTTTATACTGCGTTGATATATAAAGCAAAATGTAGTTAAAAGATCAGCACAGTGACATTTATGAAAATAGCTGGCAGGGGAGGGACCAGTCAGCAAACCAACATAGAAGGTGTGTTATTTTGAGTAAAAATATGGTATTCTAGATTTCAAGGATAGTTCTCATTTCAATTGCATTTTTCTCTTAAGTATATTCCTATTTCTCAGACCTTGTGTCTATGAAGTCAAATAAGTGTGTACTAACTCCTGAAACTGTACTACTTTACAGTCATTAAGTCTGTTCCTGTTTTTTTCCTGAGAACATACTTATAATAATACTAGGGTTCTACACTTAGGGCCCAAGGATTACTTCCAGGGGATCTAATAAACTTTTAAAGTTGAAAATGATTGTGGAGAGAAGGCCTACTACTGTTAGCCAACTCTCAGATGGAATGGGACTCTTGAGAATGATCAAGAACAACTTTTAAAAGCTCAATTTAAAAATTCATAATCTCCTTTCCTCAGGAAGAAAGTAACCTTTTTTGGCATTACATCTTTAAAGTAAAAACACTTTATTAAGTATCATCATTACTAATTTTGTAAGGCATTTTAATCACTAGTAAAATACTTTATCTTAGTTATAACATCAAACCTCAAAAGTCCTCTTGGAAACAGGAGTGTTTCCCCAAATTTGTGTTTATTATATTGGCTTAACTGGTAGCATAGTGGCTAAGACACTTGCCTGCTAACCAGACGGCTGGCGGTTCAAACCCATCAGCCACTCCTCGGAAGGAAGGTTGGGCAATCCTACTTCCGTAGTGATACTGCCTCGGAAACCCAAGGAGGGGTCGCTATGAGTTGGGTTTGACTCGACGGCACATAACAACAACAACAACAACAACCTAATATGTAATCGTCTGTGTTACAGTAACTTGGAACCAAAATTAATTCATGATTGTTTTACCTGTTTGTTGATATTATGTTGAACAATCAGTGTTGTTTAGTATGTTAATCTAAGCTAACTGACCTTATCAGTGACTTTCCCCATCCATGACATCATACTTGTTCCTGGCTTTCGTACCCAGGCAACCTTCAGTTGTCGAGACTTTAGAATGTTTACACTCTTTAGAAATAAGCACTGGAAAAGTTGCTTTTAATTCTAGTTTTTGGTGAAGGCTTCCCTCTCCCCAAAAGTTTTCCTATTAGTATTACATTTTTAAAAATAAGGAAACCTCAAGGTCTTGGCTTTCCATTTCAGTTACCTTAAGGAAATTTTCCTAAAGAGATTCCTCTTCAATACTACCACTAAATTTTCAAAATATAGATTTTTTAAATAGAATAAATATAGTCTCTCCCCCCAGTACTAATACATTTTTACTTTTTTCAGTATGGGGCAGCTTTCCTTTGGAGTCATTTTTTAGCAAATAACTTGTGTCCATTGTTTACCTTGGTGGTAACAATGTAGCAGCAATAAAGAGAAATACATGTGCTCTGCTCCTCTTTCAAAATTTCAGGTGTTTGCTTTAGAGAGCTCATGTGTTTGTTACACATATTTTAATTGCTGAGGATTAGACTACAATAAAGAAATGTTTTAATACGCTTGTCTGGCATGTCCTTAAATTGAGTACTATGTTACATTTTTATATTACAATGAAAAATCAAACTGTTTTGCATTGTCTCTCATTGTTACCCTGTTTCCTGCAAAATTTCATTTGCAAAGACTGGGTTTAGTGAAAATAATATATATGGTTTTTTTTTCATAGTTGAAAATGGTGAACATTGTGATTTTACGATTCTAAGAAATATGTTAATAAGGTAAGTATGCACAATGATGAAAATAGCATAACGTTTTTCCCTAAATAGAGTTAGAGTTGGACTGGTTTACTTTTTGTTTTCTGTAAATGTTTTGATACTGTTATTTGCCCTCAAGTTGACTGTGTCTCATGATAACCATATATAAACAGAACAAAATGTTGTTTGATCCCACACCATGGTCATGATTGTTGGTATGTTTGAGTCCATTGTGACTATTGTGTCAGTCTGTCTTATTGAGTCTATTGTTGTGACTATTAAGGCAGTCCTCGGGTTTGTTCTTTAAATTTAGTTAAATTGATAACCTTTATTCAGCACTGAAGTAAGCCCTACTTGGATACATTCTCTAGGGTTTTAAAGTAGTCTGTAAAAATACAAAATAAAGCTGTGTGCCAAGAGGTATGTAGAGAAGTGAGTCTCCTTACTTTATTATTATACTTTGTATTGAAGTTTTATACCGAAATGGGTATGGGGAGTGAGAAGTATCGGCTATTGCCCTTGCTTAATGTGAATAGCATGAAAGAACTGTAGAAAGGAAGGCTTGTTTCTGAGCCAAAAACTTGACTGTATGTTAGAAGGTGGACAGTCTGGTAGCTGGTGAGTGGGGCATTTTCCTGTACAGGAAAACAATGAACAAAATGAACCTGTGTTTTCATAAGGAACATTCTTTCCTTTCCCTGCCTTACACCCTGTTCCCCTCTCTCATCTTGCTTCTTCGGGGCCCCACCACATTTACAACTGGATGGCCACCTTAAGTTGAGGTCCATTAATTTCAAGAGAGGGGAAAAATTTAAGAGAGTCAAGCTGCTACCTCAAGAAATAAATTAGAGATGACAGTGCATTGTGAAGTTGAGGAGATTGGCATGTAGTTGATCTTTATTTAGGGGTGCTCCCAACAAAGTGTATTTATGGGAAGTCAGTGATAGGGTTGATTAAGCAGTTGGGGTTGCTGGGCCTCACACAGTGGAAGAAGAGCAAATTATTTAAGAGGGGTGTTATCTCGATTTTGAGCATATACTACTTCAGGTTTCATTACAAACTTCCCTTTCTCTACCATTCTTTTTTTTTTTT